AACCCTAATGTTTCACTAACAGAAAAATTGTAGATTGATCTTGCAGAATTGGAAACTCTTCTTTCTATACCGTATATAGCCACCAAAAAGTTACAATCTGAAGAATTAACAAGAGGTAAGATTGGAAGAATGTGATTTTGTTCTTTCTGAAATGGAGGGTTTATTGCAGAAGGAATCATTTCTTCAATGAAGAAAAGAGAAACTAGTTTGCTAGACAATAAGATCGTGCTGGGTTCAATATATGTAGATCCAAAATGCCGAATTTTGTTGGATGACAAATTAAAATGGCAGAGAAAGCCATCTATGAACTTTCCTTAAGAATAAAATTATTCTCAGAACAACTGGAGTATTCAAATCAAGACAGTCAAACTGATGATATTGCAACTGAGTCTCTATCATCCTCTTCCACTGATGAATTAGATTTTGAGAAATATTTGGATAATATTGAAAACACTAAGGCAAAGCGAATGAAAATAAATAACCAAGAGCCTTTAGATATAAATATGAAAAAATATAAACAAGATTCATACACGGCCTTTGAAGAAATAGATAAAATATGATTGCTCTTGCAAGACACGTCTTTTCGAACTTAAAATAAAAAAATTATATATATATATATATATATTTATATATATATATATATATATATATATCCTGAAAATTTAAAGGAAGTAGCCCTAACAGTAACAGCTCTTCTTCCTACTCAAGTCAGTGTGAAAGGACTCTTCTCAGTTCTGAAGTTTATCAAACTGGATCTATGGCTCTCTAACAAAGAAGATCTTGCCGAAGTTTTACTGTTTCTTAGAAATTCCTAATGCCAGTTTTTCCATTTCATAATAAATGCTAATTAATATAAAAAAATTTGCTATGCATCAATTTTTTTCTGTAGCATCTAGTACTTTTTTTTTATATTAAAAAAATAAGCTGTACTCATGTGTATATGTTTACATATATATGAAGGAGTCGAAGTCAGAGTCATTAAAATTCCAGGATAATATTGTGCTGCATCCGAATCAGCAGATGTATTTTCTCCTTTCAATCCTACACTATATAAAGAATGTCTTTTTAAATCTTGCAAAACCAACCATCACTTGCGGAAAAAGATACCTTTTTTTCATCTGACGAAGTCGATGATGACTGATTCTTAAGTGCTTTATAAATCTTTAAAGCCTTATTTGCAATAGCATTAGTATCAATTGGAATTCATTTTTGATTTTGGTCTTCTATCCATATCACTAATGCCTTTTCCATATTTTCCATTGTAACATCTCTTACATATGAAATCTATCATCTCTTATTGCTGCACGTTCTAGCTACTACACTTTTTCTAATAGAGTCTTCTTTTTTTTTTTTCTAATTGTCTTTATTGTGGTTTCATTCATGGAGTAAAACTTAGCAACATCTGTTACTCTTTCTATTACATAGACAATCTAATATTTTAATTTTTGTTTCTTAAATGACTTCAAGTATATGTATTTGCATATATGCAGCTGAATATACATTTTTACCAAGTTTTTTTATATCCATTAATTTTTAAACTGTTTAAAACTGAAATTGCGTAAATCGAGGAATAGGTGTATTTATTTTGTGTGTGTGCGAAAGCATGCATTCGCCTGTCAAAAATGATGAATGGTCATTTTCGACACTATGTTAACAAGCTATATATGTCATGTCACGTGGTATTGACAGCAAAACCTGCAGTCAAAGTTGAAGAAGGGAAGACATCATAATTACACTTTTGCCTAGTGCTGCTATTTCAACTAGACAACAGTAATGGTTAATTATGTTTCCTTCTTTTTTTTTGTTATATGACTTGAACTTAAGCTAAATTTTCATTTATTACTCTATTTGCTTTGTTTTTGTTTTATTGTACTTGCATGCTTTGTCATCATTATTTAGCTTTTCTCAACTACATTTTCAAAGTTTATTGATACTTCATATTTTGAAGAAAGCACCTTTTCTTTTTTGGTCTTTAGTCTTTTTGTTTATTCAGATTTCCATATTTATTTGATATGGTTTTTTTTGGTAATATTATTCACATGCTTTGCATCTTTCAACTATATTTTTAGAGTTCAACATTTTAAAGTAAATACAATTTTTTTATTCTTAAGTTTTATGTTATAAGCCATTTTTGGTTGTTCAGATCGATGTAAGGGATGGTACGAGAGGTAATCGTCATAGGAAATTTCTTTTGCTGCATAACTGTAATTCAATACTAATACTAGTGTATGATACTGAAAACCATTTTTTTCCCAGCAGTTTCAAAAAAAAAAAAAAAAAAAAAAAAAAAAAAAAAAAAAGGGAGCACTAGTTAAATCACAAATTTTTGAATGTATTTTGTTAAATAGTTCATAATGAGTATGTTTTGGTCTAAAATTTTCAGTAAGTTTAACTGGCATTATTGCTCCACCTGCTTCTTAACAGGGCAATTTAAAAGTTCATTCTTAAAAAAGAAATTACATATAAACTATTTTATTTGAAAAAAAAAATGCATGAAAATTTAAATGCTTTTGGAAATCCTAAACAATTTATATTAAATATGCCATTTTTAAGTAACATTATTTTATTGACACATTACATAACAGTGCCATCAACACTGATATTAAACGTGCTAAATTGTCCATTTTAAAACTATAACATGTAGACATGATTTAAAATGTCTTCATCGAATACCGTATGGAGCTTTTTATAAAATGCTCTTTATTTGTTTCATGAGAGTGAAATTAACACCAGTAGTGGACATGCTTTTATCGGTTTTAGAACTGTCATGTATTGATGCAATTTGGAACATTTTATCTGAACATTCCCAAAAGTTCTTGAAACACTTGCATCGAATGCTCTCTGAACATTCCAGTGTTAGTTGAGATTTTATACCAGTCTTCACATAAATACCTTTTCTAAAAATATTTTACATGAATAAAGCTGTTTTTATAATAAATGTTATGTCTTTTAACCAACACTGCAGTACAACAATTATCGAAAAGGAATGTTTCTAAAATGAATACTTTGGTGTTTGGTTGCTTGAATATGGCAAAGCACAGGAGGTTTAGCTACCTGACAGAAGACATTAAACTACTGCTATCGCTTGGGTTCAAGCGCAGGTTAAACTACCAGTATTCATCAGTCTTATCACTCAGCCACTGGTAGGGCAGTGATTTTCTGAAAGCTAGGCACTTGCTCTAAATATAACTTGAATAGCACATACTTTTATAGCACATTTATAAAACATTTTGAAAAGTACTAGTGTTGTACACCAAAATGATACACATTCTAAGAAAATGGTTGTAATATGCACCAGTTCAGAACGTCATGTAGAACGTAGTTTTTATCACATGATGGGGACGTTTTGAAAAATAGAAATGTTGTATTTTAAAATATCCATCCTAAGACCACAGCTGCAACATGTATCACCTTTGCACATTGTGTAAAACATACTTTATAGTCTATGATGGAAATGTTTACAAAAGTACCTGTGTTGTGTGTTGAAATGCATGTGCTAAGAACATGGTTGTAATGTGCACCATTTTAGCATATCGTATAAAATGTACTTTTCTCTGCTTTAGTGGAAATTTAAGGCTGCTATCACACATCCGTGTGTTTCAGAAGAACAACTGTTTGGAACAATTTTTCTGCTTTGTCACAACAGCCAATCAGTGCAGATCACTTTGGGATTAATATGTAAAGGGGGGAAAGTGGAGAACAAACAGGCTGATAGGTAATTGGTTGAAAACGAACAACTTGCAATTTTTTTTTTTTTTTTTGAAAGGAAGGAAAATATCACACGTCTTTTTTCTTTCAATAATAAACCAAGCCCCCCCAAAAAAACTTGTATGAAACAGTTGTTTGTATGAAACAAATGTATGTGTGATATGAGCCTTACAGTAGCAACTCCTTACAGCTGGCATACATAATTTTTTAAACAGATAGCCCCAAGAACACCTAAAATCCAACTTGCAGTGTTCTTGAAGAATTATAGACACATTTCACTTTATTAAAAAACAATGTTGTCATACATTATGAAGCAATTGTTAAATCAACACCAGATGGAAATGTTAGGATTTGTTCACTGAATCTGTAGTCCATTTAAGAACTTGTGCAATGTATGCATAGTACTGCAGATGAGCTCAAGAATATAAACTTTGGGAGGGAAGAATGTTAGAGTTGTTAGTTAAATTTACTTCAAAATTTCAAACTTCATATTTATTACCTTATTGCAAACGAAGGAAGACACACTAACTATGAAATTAATTTTCTCATAATTATTCTTTGCTACTGTTTAACATAGTTACATATGGAACTGTATAGATTCTTTTGATGACTCATTCTGATGAAAACCTTTTAATGTACAGAAATATATAAATTGCTTGTTAATGTAATCATTTAATATAAAGTGTACTTCTCATTATTTCTATTTTCCATATTCTGGGCATTTCTTTGACAAAATGTTCTAATAACAAAATACTACACAACTTAAGAATCAGTACATCTTATGATGTCACTAATCAGACTTTTATGCAATAAAATATATTCATAAATGATTAGTGATAAGTTAAGCAAAATGTTGAATGCATTAGTTTCCACTATCATAAGACTATGAGCCAGTTGTAACTGCAAATGCTCAAGATCTGTATTCACAGCAAAATTTCTAAAGAGTTTACACATGGAATGCTTCATAATTTTGTAATTTCAAGAAATTAAAAGCTGATTGTTCATTTACAATTAATTTTATTTGCACAGAAATATATAAATAATTTAAAAACTTTTACTAATGAAATCTAATAGCGCATTTTAATTCCCTAATCAATTTGCAAAATGAAAAGTTTTTTAAAAAATAATTTCCATATAAGTACCAAAATAGCTATAAAGAACCTTAAAAAACAGGACCTTTTTCAGTTATTTGAATTTTAATAAGAATTGTTCTATACTAATTAAAATCAACTATTTTTAGTTTCATTCAAAAAGTAGAAAATGATGTTTAAAAAGCAAGAAATTACTAATACCTGATTGTTGAGGGCCTCCATTTAGATTTTCATTAAACCTAGAATAAAGCATTGGTTCAGGAGTACTTCGATTGCTACTTGCACGACTTCCACTTAGTTCCTTTACATAGGATGCTGGAAACCATCCTACTTGTCTTTTTTTACCTTTCACCTGTATTCACCCCAAAAAATATTATGTAAATTATTATATATAGAAGTATAATTTTTATGTAGAATGTTCACCTAAATGAAAAGTTTAAAACATAGGAAATACTCAGTGATAATAAAAGTGACTGACCTGAACTTCTCCTTCCCACCATCCATTAGGTGTTTTCTTTCTCACATGAACCAATTGTCCTTTTTCTAATGAGATTTGTTCAGGACCAGTTGCTTTATATGGAGCTATTACAGTTACTATTTCTCCTTTCCTAAATTTACCCTTAAAAATAAATGCAACATTCAGTTGTGCCAGACATAAAGAATAAGCAATTGACAACTAAATACTGTCACAATACATTTTAGGTATATGGTGGGTTTACTTGAAAAAGTTTCATAATTAAAGAGAAACTGCATTTAATAATGCATTATTTAATACACAACAAAAATTTTCTCAAATAGAAATTTAGGAAATGCATGTACGTTAGAATTTGCCTTATCTTAACTTGGTATCCAGACTACCTATCTGCGCCAAGCACAATAAAGCTAGCTCTGAATTTGTTACTATATTTTCAATTTACATCATAGGTGGCTAAACTATGACCATGTTAGAAAAAAAATTTGTGGGGCCACATACATAATATTTTTTTAACAAATTGAAATAAAAATTAGTTCTATATTGTTTTATTAAAATAAATTAACTTCTTTTTTATTATTATTTTTTAATTTAAATTAGATATGTATAGGTACATATTTATAATTAATTTATACAAGTTTTGTTTCATTTAGTTTGGATTTCATACAGATGGAAAAGATTCAAATTAATGAGGTGGATGAATTTGCTTTTGCTGAACAAGCAAATCGATATCGGATTTTTGTATGCTTCATTCTTGGAAATAATTGTTCACAAACATAGGTACTACCAATAGCTCAAGACATTAATAAAGCATGATTGTGAAAATTAGGATATTTATTGTGGGGTAGGTAATCTTTATAACACTTCAGTAAAGAAACATTTTCAAATTTTTCTTTTAGTTGAATGTCACTTTGCAGTTCAATGCATTCCATTTGAAGATTTGAAGGTAATTTACTTATTTCCAGAGAAAATGGGATAGAAAATATGTTGAAATACTCTTCATTTTTTCAAAACTCTTGACTTAAATAAAAAATTAATGCAGCATATTTTACATATTTTGCGCAACTCAGAGGTTTATGTACAGCCAAAGTATCGAAATATGTCAAATCTTTTACTTTTATTTGATTGTGCCAAAATTTTAACTTTTTTTCAAACACTGCTATTGCTTGGAACATATTATTAATAAATTAATTTTTTCCTTCGTATGGTTTATTTAATTATGGCAAAGCACACTAGGGCTATCTGCCTAAGGGAAGAGATGCCTTCGTGGACGACTTTCTAAGGGTAACTGGCTCGTATACACGTTACACATGGGGAAAACCACAAAAACACCCATGCAGCCAGCCCGTTCGTGGGATTCGAACCTTGGACCGAACTACCAGTGTTCAGCGAATTTACTTCTCGGCCGCTGGTGGGCCCCGATTTTTTCCTTGAAGTCTCAAATTTAAATCATTCAAATGTTCTGTTAAGTCTACTAAAAAAGCCAAATCTAAAACCCAATCTTCGTCTTCAAATTCAGTCACAGGTTTTCCTTTTGTTTCCATAAATATTTTTATTTCAGTTCTTAAATCGTAAAATCTTTTGAGCATTTTCCCCTTACTGAGCCATCTCACTTCTGTATAATAAATAACATCTGCAAATCCAGTGCCCATTACCTTAAGAAAATCTTGAAATTGACTATGATTGAAAATAAGAGAAATGATCTTATGCATGCTATTTTCACAAGACCCGTATTACGAGACGAATTTCACATCCCGTGGAAATCCTGGGAGCCATATGCGGAGGGCTTTAATTCATCATGACATACCAACATGTTTTTAATTAAATTTTTATTTTAAAATAAATGTCAACGAATTGATTACATATGAATCAAACCAAATATATATATTTTAAATAAAAATACGTAAATTTAAATACTTTCACAATTTGCATTTGGGCCGCATTTTAAAGACTCTTGGGCCTCATGCGGCCCACGTGCCGCACTTTAGACACTCATTATTTACACGATTTAAATAAATATTAAAATAATATTACATATTATATATTTTTAAGAGGATATCAGATTATTTCAAATGACTGCATATGATAGGTGGACTGCCCTATATTGCAGTTTGTAAATCATTTGGTAAGCAACTAGCCTACAAACATCATCAGGAAAATAATCAAACACTGAATATAAGCCAAATGTTCTTAAGTTTATTCCGTAACACATTACTTGATTCTAACAAATGCTCCTTTTATAAAACTATACTAAACAGACACAGTGATAGTATGTCAATATTCTCTCTGTGTAAGAAATTTCTGTCTTACAACATGCAATATAATTGCATATGTATAGTTACTCGCTAAGATTCTTTAGATCATATATGATTTTTGAAGATTTAAATAATTGTATTGCACTTTCTCAGTATGAGGACACTGTTAAGAAGCACTACAGAGCCCATAAACTAATGGCTTAAGCGCTAAAGTTCCAAAGTCATCAGGACTTCAGTGATTGCAGATTTTAGATCATCAAATTAAATCCCATATAGTTATAAGACATATAGAAATTATAAAATTAAAAATATGTAAAAACAATTATGAAATAATGAAAGATATATAATCTAAAGAAGGGGGAAAACCCCCTTAACCCTTTCCCCCCATTTAAACTGTTTAGTTTTTTGTGCTGAAACTTAAATTTTATACACAGACATTCCTTGTTCAGTTACAAAATTCCATTGCTTAAGTCTTGTAATTGCCATATTGAGAATTTCCACTAAATTGACCATCAAAATTTTTTCATTTATAACAATTTCTTTGTCATGTTTTTCACTACTGGTAATGATACCTTGAGGATTTTAAAGCATATGACAAATTTCTCCAACCAGTAAATGACTGATGGCTGGGGCATTGTCGTCATAAAGGAAACTTCTTGTTTATCATTTCCATTTACTAACACTTCTCCATTTTTCTTCACAAATTCCAATAGACTGAAAATTTTAACCTTTGCTTGTGATATCCAAAAACCTTCAAATTTGCAACTAGCATCATCATCATCACCATGACATGTGAAAGGTGGCCATAAATTAAACCAAGAATTTTTTAAAACATCTGCAAGCACACTACCTGTGATACTGCAATGCTCCACATGTAGATTTTATATTAAAATATTAAAAAAAAATCTTTGAAAGATCCTGCCTTTGTTCAGAAAATTCAGCATAGATTTTAAAAAGGCTACTTTAAATCTGCATTTCAGTGTGTAACGTTTGCAATAAGTGATGGATATACAATTTGATGGGAAAAGATGGAGATGCTATCATTTACTGAAAGTTTAAGTGAAGTATGAGTTCAACACTATAATATAATCAAGATAATTTTTATATCATCTAAACCAGCTGATTCCAAGCCTTAGATACAGAAAGAGTTTTCAAACCAATCATTCATTAATGTTTGTGTTAGTCCTACTTTTGTATTTGAATGACAGATACAAGCAAAATCTTCGCTCCTTTAAATGCATAAGGTCAAGAATTTTTTTTTTTTTGCCTTTCTTTTTCTTTTTTTAAATTTCTGGAACATTTACATTTTGTGTCTTTCTGCAGCATTCATTCATGTCAAAATTGTTAATCTCCCTCTGAAATCCTTAATGGCAGTTGTGGACTATTCTGCAAACATTGCCAAGTTGTTTCAGGGCACTATTACAAGAAAAAATTGTTCTGTTGTAAATTTGTTCTGGAGATAACTTTTTGCTATTAACGATTTCGATGAACTCATGTGCAAATCGTTGAGCTGTTTCAGCATCAGCTAAAGTTTTTTAGTATGAAAATTTTCACTGCCTTATACCATACTCATTTTTAAATTTGATTAATCAAAATGCTGCATATATGCAATCAGTTTTTAAGTCCATTCTATCATGAAATATTTTGGCTTGAGCCATTAGCCCTATTGATGGCATGCTCTCAATGTGATGACTGACATTCAAATAAAATATCCTTTTGTTTTGCAGCTCCAGAATTAAAAATACTTTTTAACATAATTCAAAATTCAAACTTTGATTTGAATAGGATAGTTGGAATAATAATAGCCTGCAAAAAATTATAAGCTGGATCAAATTAAAAACTAAGGAAGAGTGCAATTTGCTATACTGAACTTAAGTTCCTTGCAACTCTTCCATGGTGCTATGCCAACAAAAGAAAAACAAAGTGAATAGCATCCGACTCAAAATAAATATGTCTTGAGGCTTTACTTGTGGTTTAGGTCAGATAGAAAAGTGGACTCAAAATATCCCCCCCCCCAACCACTAAAGGGCTTATAGTGTTATCGTGGTGTAACCTTTGAAGGTCATGGCCATGGTTAACATCAATACAACATATTACCATTAGTCATGGTATGATTCTCTAGACAGCAGATGTTTCAAGGTGACATATAGAAATCTAAAATTAGTCATGAGAAAATATGCTTTTACAACACTCCACTTTTTCTGGAGTTTTATATTATATATTCTAAACTTAATGAAAAAGGGGAAAAAGTGCAGGTAGTCTAAATATTAGATCACTTCAGATACTGAACATTATACAGTATAGTATTATAGATAGGTAAAAAATAAAATATCTTAAAAAAATTAACAGCAAGACTAGTAGTATTTTAAAAAACAAATATGTTGATGTAGTAAAACTATTATGCTTTGCATAATGGTTAAAAAATTACCATATTTTAAAATTTAATCACTAAAACACATCTTGAACAATTACAGCAAAGTCTAATCCTTTACTAAATTTTTAAATTATAATTTATTAAATTCCAGCAACAATGTTAATACATTTGGGAGGGAAAAACAAAAGAAGCCGACTATAAATGCTTAAATATATAAATTCTGTGATATTCAGCATGCAACAAGCCAGTAGTTTAAAATATCTTAATATATCAGTTAAAACAAACTGAATTTAACAGATACTTTTGCTCACTACATTTAGTGGCAATTAGCCAACAATTTATTATTTGAGTTAACTATGAGAATATCAAGGAGTGCGCAAAAAATTACAAAGTGCCATACAAAAGAAGATGAACAAATCAAAAACATACTGTATTTTTAGCAATTTCATGCAGTGGAAATTAAGAGAAATAAAGCATACATATTAGCACTTTACCTTAGGTTTTGGACTATACACTGACATCTCGTACTGTAAGCATGTTAATGTTGAAATCATTAATTTGTTAATTCGTGGAAAAAATTGACATTAAAAATACATATAATTAGATACATTTACAAACCACATTATGAAAAATTAGTAAGATTTATATTTTATATTACAATAATTTAAACCTTTGATATTTAATGAAGCTAAAGAATTGTACAGAGACAATTAAGCATATTTAAGTATATCTTTTATGTGATATTAATAAAATATGCAAAATATTAGAAGTTATATTGCACTATAAATACACAAAAGGAATAAAAAGCATGTACACCTCCACAGATGAAAAAGCATCAGTCTTAGGCTCAGCCTCATTTACAATAGCAGCCTAAAGAAGGAGGGGGAAAAAAATAAATAAAATAAATAAATAAATAAATAAATAAATATTTCCTTACGTATAAATATACAGGAACTTAAAAACAAAATGAAAACAATTTACAGATTCAATAAAATGTATTAAAATAAATAATATGACTTCCAAGACAAACATTTTCCTTATATACTTGGAAGAATAAAAAATTAATATAAAAATCAACTTTTAGGGGGGGAAGAAGACGTATGTAGATCGGTACATATTTTATGTAAAATTCTATTGATTTTGAAAGTACCAAGACTGAAGAGGCAAAAAATAGTTACTACCAAAATTTTCCTGTACAGAAATTACTAATTAAAAGTAAATCTTTTTTCTTAAAGTTTAGTTTCTACTTAAAAAAAGGAACATGGGAATTTTTCAAGTGAAAACATAATTTTAGAGTTTCTATTTTTTTAAATGAAACATGATATTGATGAAAATAAATCTTACAGAAATTTAGTTTAGGTTAGGTTAACTGGCTAAGACTAAGCATACAAGAGCTATAGGCCTAAGGTGATGGATGCCTTTCGAAGGAAACTCTGTCTTATTCACATTCCATTGAGGAATCACAAAAACACTCATGTAGTCACCTGTTCAGTAGGATTTGATCCCATTAATAATTATCAGTGTTCTGCATTTTTATCCACTTGGCGACTGTTAGGCCAGAAAATCAGGAATTTTCATATATTCATCAAAATTTAGCTTTTAGAAAATATTTTAGATTTGAGACAGAATAAATATAAAAGCTATTTTTAAAGAGTATGCAAAGCTAAACAGATAAAAATATATTTCTTTTTTTAACTAACCTGTCCTTCAGCTTTCCTTACATAATTACTTGGAAATATTCCAGTTCTGTTCCCAATAGTTCCAGTCCACCAATCACCTTCTTTTTTTGTTACTAAGATAGTTTCACCAACTTGGAAACATAAGTCGCCTAATTCTTGAGACTGATATGCATAAGTTGCCACATAATATTCTGGAATTCCTTCTGTATAAAAGAGAGTTTAATCTTGTATTTAACATATTTACAGAAATTTCATTAAAAAAAAAAAAAAAAAAGAAAAAACACACACACATATATATATATATAAACAATTTTGCTAATTAATAAGTAAAATTTTAAAATTTATCTTAGATTTCAAAATAATATGCAGAAAATTAGGCTTAATTCAAAATAAAAAATAATATGCAGAAATTCAAAATTATTTCTTCATATTATTTTGAAATTTATTTATATAAATTTTGAAATTTTCATACATTTTCATTTTTATCTCTTTAGTTTAAAATTAGATTTAATTCACTGAACTCTGGATTATCCAGTCTGCAGACAGTCCATACAAAGAAATTCTCTAACCACTGCATGTATGCATACACACATACATATTTAAAAAAAAAAACGGAGGCAGGAGGAGATGAAATATTTGGATCAGGAATTATTGATCAGGTGATTTTTAATGCAGTTTATCTCATTACTTAATGCATTTAATAATGAATTGACTTTTCTGCCATGATTGAGTTCCTATTATCTTTGAGAGGTGAATATAAGAAAGTTCTCCTAAAAAGAAGTTATAGCTTTCAGCCTCACTGTAATTATATCTGGTTTTCCATGGCTTTGAAAATATAAGTGAAGGAAACACAGAAGTAAACAGAAAAGCAAAAATGATGAGGATGAAGTTATTTTTGGATGAATTTATTTCTGAAGCAATTGCTTAAGATAAACCAAGAGAAGAACATGAAAAGAAAGATTATTTGGAATTCTAAGGTTGACTAAAGTGGGGAATAGGCAAGTGCAGAGAAACTCTTATTACATGTGCAAATAAACTATGTTCAATCATAAAGAACTCATGACTTTGCATAGTGCTTATTGCAGTGTCTGAAAAAAAAAAGTTAGCATTTAAATTTAATATATATATATGCAAATAGTAAGTTAAATTTGTACTTTCAAAGTTAAAAACCTAGTGGTAAAGCAGCTAAGATTAATGAAATTCAATTTAGCAAAATATTTTATTATTAAACTCATATTAATTTAAGTAAACAAAATCATGTATAAGAGCCAGTTTCCCTTAAAAGTCCTCCATGAAGGCATCACTCCCCTTAGGCAGATGGCCCTTTGCCATAATTAAATAAACCAAACAAAATTAAAAATGAGTGTGAAAAATGTATTGTAATGCAATGGAAATAAATCAAAAAATTAGTAATTTGTTTACATACAATGAAATTTTTTATTTGTAGTTATTTTTGTAAAATAAGCGGATTGTTTCTAGAATTTTTTATAGCATTACCGTATATATACCCGTGTATAAGTCGATCCCCCAACTTTTGAGAAAAAGTTTTCGGGAAAAAAAATTTGTCGCATGAGCGTGGCCGCCACTAAAAAACAGCATGCCGATGTACTTGATAAAATTACACTCACTGTTTAGTGAATGTTTGTTTATTTCCATTTTAGCACATGATAAAATTTTAAAATACGTACAAAATTTCCAAAGAATTTCATTTGAATACTTCAAACTTTGATTCAAAGTCAGAATCTGCAAATAAATCCTGAAATTCTTTTTTCAGTCAGTTAGCGAGTCGACATAATTTCATCACTCGATTCATCACAGCTAGTGTCATTATCATCACTTGGATAGATAGCATCATATTCTGTGCCATCCAAGTTATTGGAACTGCGACACTTTTTGAATGATTTAATAATCATTTCAGCTGGAATCATATCCCAAGCGTCTTTCACCCACCATGCAATTAAAGTTATGTCCGGCCTTCTAATATTGCCACCTTTGGTTTTAGTAGGCAAATCAGATTGTATTCATTCTGCCAAATACTTGAACATATTCACCTGGAACAGCTTGTTTATGCTGACATCCTGTAGTTGTAAAATGGATGTCAGCCCTCCTCAAATCACAGAAAGTGTTGTTTTTGAACTTTCTGCATGCTTTTTTACAACTTCTGAACGATGTGGTCAAAACGAATCCCAAGTCAAAAGCAAAAGTTTCTGTAAAAGTGCACCTGGGTTTTTGCATCATACCTTTTGAAACCAATCAATTGTTAGGGTGTTGTCTATTCAATCATTTTTCTGGGCGCGAACAAGAACACCTGCCGGAAATGCTGCTCTTTTCAGTAACATTTTTTGCTTGAAAAAAATCATGGAAGGCAACTTATTGCTTATAAAACAGAAAGAATAAATAAAAAATTTTGTGTTTTATCTGTATGAACAATATATTTAATAAGTTCGCCACCGTGTCATCGATCGGCAGTGGTGTATCTTTTATTTTTTTGGTTCCACATATAAGTCGACCTTCTACTTTGAAGTTTGAATTTTTTTCTTAAAATTGTCGACTTATACTGGGTATATATGGTAAATTGTTTTTTTCTTGTTTATTTTTAGTCTATTAATTTAAAATTAGTCTTTTTATTATACTTTCTATGTTCATGTTTTTACTCTTACTGGGAACCTGAGAGAGGGTAAGCATGTTAATCTAGTTTATTTGAGAGATAGTTGAGTTTCTTATGTAATTCTTAATTAATGATTGCAGTTCAGTTACTCTAAAATAGGTTGAAAGGAACAAATGCTTAATCAGTGTTTTTTAATTATTGCATGTGAAAATGAAAATTAATTACTGTAATTTTGGGTAGAGCCGTGGCTTATTTGTGTTTAAAAGTTGAAAATTTAGGTTGGCGGCGTATCTGGAATTTTATTTTTCTTCTGTCCTTAAAACTTCGCTAATTCAGATCGTAAGTAAAGCAGAAGCGAGGTGGTAAGAATTCGCTGCAATATTCTAACCTCAGATTGCACTAAGGCAGCGCAATAAAAATGGAAAACTTCCCTAAGGTAGTAAGTGGTGCTCTCTGTAAAGACACTGCAATGCATGTACTTCCTCCTAAACTCCATGGTTTTTCCCATGCTTTTCTATGACTTTTTGTTTTACTGGCAACACTAAGTTTACTTGCCAATTAGCGTTGCCACCTCTTTACTGTCAAAATCCGGGAGAGGAAAAAAAGTTTCTGGGAGCAGAAAAAAAACCTCTGTCTTCTTAATCTCGTTTAAAAGTATTTTTTGAGCTGCAGGAACAAGCACACTCTCGCATATGCTTGTACATTTTGTTCTACCACAAGAAGTCGTTTTGGCAAAGAAGAATCTGGAAATAGAGTGCTTTACAATTTGTGCAATCCTGGCTATTAAAAGTGTGATGGTGCTTAATCCTATGATAGACTGAAGTAATTTCAATTGCCGATATATTGTCTTGTTCTTCTGAAGATTAATTCATGAAAAAGTTCAAAACCGATTGCGAAGAATTCCTATTCAATATTAACGACTGGTGTTTTTTTGCTTTGGAGAATGTACAGTTAAAGCTTTAACATCCTCGTACTTAATATTAACTGTTTACCGACATATTTTGCATTCTCCATTAAAGTTGTCTCTCTTCATCAGCTAATCAAATTAAGTTAACCACTTGTCTTGAAACAACGCCGAATATATTTTTTTTTTTTTTTTTTTTGGTGGTACTAGTTTACTTGCAGAATCAGAATCGTTTTTTTCACTAATCATTATTATGAAAGCATTTAAATAATTTCAAAATATGCACTTGTTTGTGGATAGCTAGCTAACTGCAGACTAAATGAAAGAATGGATGGAAAATGAGAGAGGGCGAGGGGAGATGAGGGCGCGTGTGCGCTACACGCAGGCATGAAACAATGACTCATCCCGTAAGTTGCTCACTCACCGTAGATCGCTGTTGCAAAGAATATGTATTGACATAGACGTTCTTTGGCTGCTGTGCACGGTCATGTGATTTTCGATGCTTTCAACCATTTCGTCCGTGCACACTGTGTTGTTTATTTTCGAGAAACTTGATATTCCATTATTGTAATATTTATTTTAAATTCCTTCCGTGAGCCGGAAGATTTTAATTTTTAGGACTCAATTACGGGAGAATCCTGGAATTCCGGGAGAGGTGGGAACCCTATTGTCAAGTGCTGTGTTCATTCATACACGTTTTTACTGCTTTGTAGCTTGCTTTTTGATTGCCTTATCATTTGCACTTTCAAAATATTATTATTGTTATGGCTCAAAGAAAAAGTTATACAGCTGCTTTTAAGCTTTTGACAGTGAAGAAAGCCAACGAAATTGAAAATCGTGCTGCGGCTAAAGAATTTCAAGTTGACGAGCAATGCATTCGGCGGTGGAAGTCTGAACAAGAAGAATTAGAGAAAATGTCTAAGAATAAAAGATCTCGTCGAACTGGTGTCATAGCCTGGCCTGCTTTGGAACACAATTTAGAGAAATGGACAACAGAGCAGAGAGAAAGTGGATTATCAGTATCAACAATTAGAGTTCGTCTTCAAGCAAAGGTAATTGCTCAACAAATGGGTATTAAAAATTCTGTTGGAGGACCTAATTGGTGTTTCAGATTCATGAAGCAAGAGAAATTATCAGTCCGGACCAAAACAACAATTGGACAAAAGCTTCTAGTGGACTGGCTTGAAAAAAAGATAGGTTTTTTGGAGTACACATCTAAGAAAATTAAAAACAAAATTTGAAAAGAGGGCAAATAATTAATATGGACGAAGTGCCCGTTACTTTTGACTGTCCTCAGAGCAATACTGTTCATTCAATATGGGAAAAAACTATTTCAGTGTTAACAACCAGGAATTAAAAGACTTCTTTTACTTGTGTTTTGGGTTGTGCTGCCAATGGAGAAAAGTTCCCCCCTTTGATAATTTTTAAAAGAAAAAAATTCCGAAAGGAAACATCCCAAAAGGAGTTATTATTTGTGCCAACGAAAAAGGAGGGATGTGCAAAGAAGTGACATTGTTTTGGCTGAGAGAAATTTATCAGAAAAGGAAAGGTGCTTTTTTCCAACCCTGAGGACTCATTGTTCTGGATTCAATGCGGTGCCATTTATTGGATACGGTAAGGTCTGGAGCAAAAAAACTTAGCACCGATGTCTCAGTGATACCAGGTGGGCTTACAAAAATTTTACAGCCGCTAGATCTCACTATCAATAGAACTTTCAAGTGCAAACTAATAAAGCAGTGGGAGGAATGGATGCAAAGCTGATTTCATTCCTTCACGAATTCCGGACGAATGAGAAAAGCTTCATATGAGGAGGCTGCCTTATGGGTCGATAAAGCATGGCAATCAGTCCGAGCTAATATCATCGTATCAACTTTCATTAAATCGGAAATCACTGAAAAAGAAAATGAAAGTTGAAAGAAGTGATTTAGAACAGAATGATGAAACCGACCTTGATGGTCATTTGTTAAATTTATTTAAATCAGACATCCCATCGATGAGTCGGATTTTGAAGATTTTGTATAAATAAATGTAGTTTAATTTAATTAGAAAATTCTGTTTGTTTATCTAATTTACATGTTCTTTTTCATAATGTAATTTATGCTGATAAGCAGAGTTTACCGAAAATGTAAAAATAATATATTAGAAATTATCAGAGTTCGTTTTTGGCAAGTTCAAGGTAAGATGTTTCTTCTTTATTTATATATTACTGATTATATTTATGTTGTAAATGTTATCAATATGGCAGGGAATTACTGAATGAATGAATATTAATTGCCATGCTTCGGAATGTTTGGCTGCAGCGTATACAGCGGTGCCGCTTATCCGATGACCTTTTATTTTTCTCAGTCAATTATCATGTGTGCGGCGTATACACCAGGGCAGCTTATCTACCCAAAATTACGGTAATGCCATCTGAAGTGTTAATTTCATTTAATCATCATTAATGATTACCTTATAAATTTATTAATTTTTATTCATAATTTTATGATCTTAAAAAATTTGTCAGTTCCTCCCCTTACATTACAATAGCCTTTTCACACTCATTTTTACATTTTATTTTTACACAAATTAATCTGAGTATAATAATAAAATATTTTGATATATATATATAATAAAAGGATTATTCTAAAAGTAAAACATAAAAATCCATGTGAATTTTAATATTATTTTAAATAATACATTGTATATTATTCATCTGAAATGTCTGATGAATTTATTTTTTACAGTGCCATGCATTACTTACAATTTTACACTATAATTGGATTCTTCACACATAAATTAGCATGAGTTCAGCCACCCCCCCCAAAGAGGGAATAGATATAAAAATCTGAGCTTTCTTCCAGCATAACTTTAAAACCATTCACAAAATTTCTATGTATATCACACAGATATTAATTTAATATTACAAAAAATGCAATTAGATAATAAATACTAGCTATAATTAATTCTGATAAAAGATGGCAGGTTTCCTGTACAAATACATGAGGAATGTTCCATCCTGTAGAACATTCCTCATGTATTTCAAATTTGCTTCTGCAAATATACGAATTTTAATGGCAAAAAATATCATGTGTTTGTAGATCATTTAATTTTTTTAGTTCTAAATTAGTATTTATTAATGTAAAAAAATTTAAATAGTTACACAGTTAAACATTTAACAAATATGAATAGTACTCACAACAAAACTAAATAATAGTACAATCAAATACTTTCTACAAAATGAACAACCATGAAAGTCACTTCCTCTATCATCATACCTGGTGGAGAGGTATCAACTACTGGTGGCTCTTGCAGCTCATTTCTATCAAAGGCATTTTCTTGTAAACTGCAAATAAATTTATATAATAATTTCTAAAAAAATAGAATGACATACCTTAATTTTAATTATACTGCATTAATATGATGAAGGAAGAATAACAGCTTAATGAAAGAAATCACACAACATTAAATATTTGCTATATAAAACATTCTAAGATAAACAAAATAACTTTTACCAGTACTATCTATGAAAACAAATTATTCCTTAAATACATAATATAATTCTAATAAACAATATATATAGCAAAAACGAATATGCACAACACAAACTTACTTCTCATTTATTTTCATAGGACCTGATATTAATTTAACATAAGATTTGGGGAACCAACCAAGCTGAAAAATGCAAAATTACAATTGGCAATCAGAAGGAAGTAAAAATACTGTTTTCAAAGGTACATATGTACAACAAATTTTATTAGTAAAATACATTAAAATAACATCCAGGAAAACAAGTAAACTTAAAAGATATAAAATTACAATTTAAAAAGTAAGAAAAATATTTCCAATACATGCATTAATACTTAAAGAAATACTTGGAAATATTAAATAACATACCTTATCCTGAAATTCTCCATACCACCACATATCTTGTTGTTCCTTGACATTTATAATATCTCCTTTATTAAAGCTGAGGTGGTTTTCTTTCTTAGCCTTCCAGGGAAATAATGCTTGCGCTTGCAAACCATCTGGCATACTCTGACCCTGCAAAGAATGCAAAAGATGAAGCTTATTTCATCAAAAAGAAGATAAACAATTGACTACAAAAAAGCTGCATGCTGAAAAAAATTAAATTCAAAATTGAAAATGCAGCTTTTAATATCTTTTTAAACATTAGAACCCTGCTTCCAAAATAACTATAATTTTTATTATTCTATTTAAAAAAAAAAAGGGTAATGAGAGATAATATGCACATACAAATATTAGCAAAAATAACTGTATGCATGCTTATTTACTAACAGCAATAATACCCATGTATACAATACGGCTACCAAATATTTTTATTTTGATGATTTGGGTGCATAAATTGTCAATTTTTTTATTCCAAAAATGAAATGTTTGACTTGCAATAAAAAAAATGCCGCACACTTTGAACTTTAACCTCTATCATTTGAAACCTTCAGTAAAATGCTGCCGTCTGTTGAATTGAAGTGGAAATAACTTCTCACGATATATATTCGGGTATAACAATATGATGCACTAAAAAAAAATTAGCCCGAGTAATATTCGGGTGTGACATTTTGGAATACCAGTGCTGTGCCCGAGATTATTTTGGGCATGACAGTTAAAAGGTTAACAGCGTTACATCTCATTCATTTCATAACTCAGAGTGCACAAAAAATTATATCATCTCAATATTTACAAGTTCTATTCAAATACTATAATAATTCTAAAACGATATATAAAAGAAATTAAACAAATAAAAAAGAAACAGTTTTTCGAAGACGATTCAATGCCGCTTACCTAATGCGCATACGCTAATAGTTAATTCAAGTCTCACTTCGTGGCAAGGCAAAAATACATAAAAATTCAAAATACTTTCATTAAAATTTGAAAGATATAGAAAAACATAAAACACCAAATACAGTTAAAACAATTAAAAAAAAATTTACAATTAAAATTACAGTTTCTATGCAAAAACAAGCTAATAACTTGTTTTTGCGTAGAAATTGTTGATTTAAATTGTTGATAATTCCACAATTATTGCATACAGGTTAACTAAAAGCATAAAAAACATAAGCAGAACAACATAATTAAATAATTTTTTAAAGTCAAAAATGCACAATTTACAAACATGCAAAAATAAGGAAACTGAGCTCACTGAGCTGAGTAACAGATTGGGTATATATTTATATACTTTTGGTGCACCTCATTGCAACCAAAATGGGAGGTGCATGTCTGCATGTTATAGCAGTCTTATATAAAAAATTTCAACATTCTGAGGCTACTCGTTTTTGAGTTATGTGAGATACCTATGTACAGACACCATGAAAAAAAAAAAATCTCTTCAAAATTTATTTAAAAAAATCTGTTCTATATTTTTTTGGGGGAAAAAGATTTCATTATTCTGTCCTTACGTACAGATGTCATGCAAAAACATCGTTAAATTGCATTTGATAGCAGTTAAAATGTACATTTTCATTGAAATATGATACCAGAAATTTTTTGTGAGTACAATACTTCCTTTTTACTTCAACGTTAAAAAAAAAAAAAAAAAAAAAAAAAAAAAAAAGAGGGGGGGGGAATTTTAAGTCATAGATTCTACGTTTTTAGAGGAAAAGTACAAAAGTTCATAATCCACTTTATGTTATGCATTAAAGCACAGACATGCTTCCTGAAATTTATATTTCATCTTCACACATGTAGTAAAGGCCATGGTATGCAGTAAATCCTTGCTGCATACAGGGGTTACATACTTAATACATTGCATGTATGTCAAAATTGCATTTCACAAAATTAACTTTCTATAGAAAAAATCGGTTAGCTATAGAAAATTACAGATTAAGAAAGTACATATAATTTATAAATGCTTAAACATTACTATAACTAAAAGGGGAAAATGAAACAAATGTTAATTAAAATGATTTCTATTACTGCTTAATAAGAACGTATATGATAAAAGTACTTTTTTAAATAGCTGGTGAAGTTTGCTCAGAACAATGTCTGTCAGGACTCATTACATGTTTAACAGTAAGGAGTGCAAAGTTTTTCAATACCTTTCATAAAGTGTCCTCTTCTTTATTCATTTGGGTCATTTACTATCGCCACTTTCACTACCGACTGGTGTTAAGAGACCATCCAATTCTTTGATTCCAAAATTTTTTTAACATTGCTACATCAAAATAGAAACGTGGGGAAAGGCATAATTATATAATTTTTTTTTTTTTTTTTTCTCCTAGACTGAGAATTTAAGTTAGCACCAAGATAATTTTGGTAGTGACCTGAGAACTGATTACTTCAGCTACTACACACTTAACTAAGGTCTGGGCAGCAGTTTTTTTTCCAAAGTGTCTCAAGGTGGTACTGATTAATTCTCAACAACAGTATAAATTTGATGTAGATTAGTAGTAGTAAATTAATTATATTGCTTAACTTCACTATTAAATAAATAGAAATACCTTGAATACATCATCGGATGCTTATAGGAACATACCAAAGATTAAGCATATGACTGCAGTAGGAAGACAGACATTTTTTGGTAAGTTATTGCAATTTTTGGCATCATTTAAAGCTCCCACTCTAGGTTAAGATGTAAATACTGATAATTTTTATTACCTGTCCAGGAACTGGAGAGGTTTCTGAAGTAGCAGGTGATACTTTAGGAAGCTGTGTGAAAGATGAATTTTCAGAATGCTGAAGAACATCTCGAACAGGATTGTTCACATTTGCCACTTCTGTACCATTTTCAGGTGCCTCAGATATACCTCTAATTAATAAAAACATAGAATATTATTAAAAATACATGAGTAGAAATCAAAAAATTCCCAAGTAAGCATTTGCGCATAAATGAAATCAAGACTTTCAATGGTTCTTTCAACCAACAGAAATATTTTCAAGTTTTGAAAAACATTGCTATTTACACATCTTTCATTGCATCATTCTACTGAAAATTTTCTTATAAATCTCTTATTACACAGGGAAAAACAACAGAATTCTGGTGAGCTACCCACCTCAGAAACATGGGTTGTATGGATTAGTGAATTTTTCAGATTACAAACCAATGCCTTTTTAAGTTTTAGTTACATTAAAAATTTCACTTTTTTTGTATATATAAATAATTAAAACACACTCATACCTTAAAATTTATTCATTCCAAATTTATTAAATATAAAACTATTTTAATTTTTAACTATAATTACACAGGGAATAAAATGTCTGAAAAAAAAGGGGGGAAGTAAATAAATCTTTAAATAAAAACACATCAAATAATTACACAAATAACTGTATTCTCACCAATGAGTTTATTTTCAAAGTAACTTTTAAGCTTTCGGTTAAGAGGGGGGGGGAAATCAGTGTATACACCGTTTACTAAACTGTAACAGCAAACATTTCCTTAAATTCCCATGCTAAATCTGTCATTATGTTCTTTGCATGAGCAAATGCATCAACAATGCTTCATTAAGTGCTAGAACTTGAAATTTTAGATTTAGTAAAATTTTAATTCTTTATCCTCTTTTTGCCATATTTTCCATTTTTAATATCAGGAAAATCTTTATATGCTCTATTTTTAAGATTTTATCTATATGCTACTGACTGGTGTTTAAGCATACTTGTTTTGCAGACTGTAAACAAACCAAAGTGCAATACATAAAATATTGTGAACAAATGAATTCTCAAGACATGCTATAATATGATTTTTAAATTGATCACATAAACTAAAAATTAATACTAAAAAGCAGTGAAATAGGCATCCATAAATAGGGATTTATCTAAAGCAAATAATTGGCTAACATTCACAAAAGGTATTACAGAAAGAAAGCATAGATGTGGGAGCAGAAAATGCTAAATTAATTCAATGATAAAGAATTCAGCACTACTGGCAAGCAAGGAGTTTAATGGCCTAATGGCCAATGTTAATGGCATTTGACAAATAAAAAAAAATTCAATGATAATTCTTTTTTTTTTTAGTCAAAAGATGTCATAATGTAGTGCATTTAAAAAATACTACTAATAATTTTTATATACATAAGAAAAAAATGCCATTTTCTGAAGTTGAAATTTTATTCCTTTACATTCAAATTTGAGTGTGGATTATAGACATCATGAATAAAGCTGTTGCAGATTATTGGAATTCACATTTTATATTTGAGACAAATCTGAGTTTCCATTTCAATTGCATATATAGCAGAAAAGGGCTGAATACCATTTAAAGGTAAGGACTCGGCAAATTTAAACTTGATACTGATTACTAAATATTAATAAATTTTTCTGTTAACATAAAATTAACACATTGATGCAATATAACATTTACAAATCATTATTTCACATTAAAAAAGTGCTTATTTTATTCAAAGGTGACATATATGCATGGAGGCTGTCCTTTATTATGAGCTATTTCTTAAGATAACATAACAGTAAGTTTTTATTTATAAACCAGTGTTCACCCTCTTCCTGTCAAATCAAATATATACATGTAGAATATGAACACTAATTTACTGGCACAAATGGCATTTCATATGGCAGAATATATGATATAAAATGGCATTCATGACAGCAAATTAAAATATTTATGCTTTATATGCATAATATTTAAATTATACACTGATAGTATTCTTTCAAAATATTAAAATACAGTCTGTAAATAGAACAGTTGTTTTTCAAAGTCTACAAATGGAACAGCTGTTGTGCATAATTTATAAATAGAGCTGCAGAAACATTTGGCTAGTCAACGAATTGTCATTCGCCATTTAAAATTAATACAACTTTAAATGCGCCAATATATTTTATATTTGTCATGATATCATATTAGTGCTGTTTTTCACTTAATTTCTAACAAGAATGCCAATTTTGCTTTAAGACACAATCATCTCAAATGCATTATATTCTTGTCTTATTATATTTGCTGTTTCTGTCAATGTTATTCTAATCAAACGTTATGTAGACCATCCATACTTATGTGGGATACTTTTACCCCATGTGAAGCTGTGGATGAAACTAAGAAATAGGGATTCTCTTCTGCTGAAATTTAGGCAATATCTTTTCATAACATTAATTATTAAAAGACAAAGGGAAGTACAATTTCAACAATACTCTGCCTTAACAACTGTTAAAATAACTATAAAAACATTTTAATATATACAAAAGTCCAGATGTAGTCCTTAACAAGAGTAAACATTTTGTAAATTCTTTTTAAGTCCATTATTATTTAGCCTGAGATGCAGATCCTAATTACAAAATATAATGGGTCCTTTTAATTTACCTAGCGTTATTTCAACTCTCTGCATTTATTAAAAAATGCATTTTTAAACTTATTTTACTAGGATCTGCAAACTGATAAAATGTGAACAAGACAAATGGGTGCAAAGAGGGGCATGAAGACATGTTTCATAACATATTGCTGCTTGGAAGGTAAGCTTACACAACATAAAAATTTGTGACATTTATTTATTTTTATTAATTTGTTTTATATAATAAACCATGCAAAAGTATTATATTTTTGTATGGAAGTACTGCTGAGGTAACTTGCACATTTGACTACCTAAAAGGAACTAAGCCAGTTTCAAAATACAAAAAATATTTCTATTAAGAACATAACATAGCCTGTATGCTGGTTAATGCAAGCTAACAGAGATCGACACCATTGGGTATTGGTTTAAATCATAAGTACAGTATACATATTTGTGACTACAGTGTTTTGTGGCAAAAAAGAATTCAAAATCTGCTGAGATGAAACCTTTGGCAAGATTGGAAATATGAAAAGAAGGGGTACAAGACCGCCTGATTCTATCCTCCCAGGGCCTCTCAGTCAATGGATAGTACACAGCTTATCTTATATGTTTGATTAAATTAAATAATCAACCAAGAATCTTGGCCAGTAATGTCTTGTCATTATCAATGCTCATTAAAGTTAAGTATTCAATATGAAATAGTTCTTTAGCTCCAGTTTTACAACAATGATATATTTAAAAAGCAGTTTACATTAAATTCATAAAACAGGTTTGCTTGACCTTTTTACTTTCTTGTATAAAGTAAAGGAAGTGTTATAATAAACCTTTTTTTATTTGTGGTAGTCTTCTTCCAAAAAAGTGTGATTTTATGTGATTTAAATTCATTTCTATTGCATAAATAAATGAAGATAAATAATAATTGAATAAGTCGATTAAAATAATAATTGATTAAAACTTAATTTAGGTCTTAATATTTTACATATATAACCTTTTTACATTTAACTTCTTCCAGTTAAAGAATTAAGGCTAATATTATGAAGTTCACAGCCACTTACATTCTAATTTTTACTTTAATTTTCAAGTCTTCTAAATTTGTTGTTAAATAGTTGTGGGATTTTGATACCTGAAGGTCTCTCAATGTTTTTGGAATAGCTGAATGCTCTGTATTAACCCTTTACGGCGCACTATACGTTAACGTCGGAATTTCAACAAAGGTAGCTGTATGCAGTCTATTTAGTCCTAAAAGAGTATACAGGTAAAATTTTGTAAAAATTGCACTTACCGTTTTAATTCTTAAGTAAGTCACACCTTTTTGATGGAAGAATAAACTAACTACGGTTAAAATAATTAACTATGATTAATATTAACAATAAAGGAAAAATAAGTCTATAATATATACATAAACAAAAAATATTTACACAATTATTGAAAATAAACGGGAATGAGTTTAAAAAGCGGCAGCAAAAAATTTGCGCAGGTCTCGCCGTAACGGTAAAACCCAAACTCGCAAATATCTCCAAGACGGCTCGATAGAATGTCCCAAATTTCGGTGTGAACAGGCACCCCAGTAAGATCTACAATCCCTCCATAAGTAAAGATGAGTCAAGCTACTAATAAAATTCCCGCCTAAAATCTACTCCCAAAAAATTCGAGATGCCAATATTAGGGCTTTCATAACACAAAACACACCTCACCCCTCAATACTGCTTTGTTTGAATTCATTCCCCCCAAAAAAACGTAAACAACGGATGTTTTCTCCTAAGCACAGATGTTCTGATTCGTAACAGCATGAGATCGCTAAAGGCACAGTGTTTCTGCTAATGGAACACCCGGGTTTATTCAATGATTCTGCACATGGTTTTTGTATGAAAAATTAAAAAAAATACAGAACAAATAATTTGGAGTACAGCCAGAAAAATTATGCCTAATTTCTTTTCCAAATAAAATTTGTTATATCATTAAAAAATAGAGAAAATTACTTGAAAAAAAGTGGATTTTAATAACACATAATATATGAAAATTCGGTGTCTCCTTGTGATATGCTGCTATCTACTGTTTAAAAAGAATAGTTCAAAGTATATTATAAAGGCATTTTTATCTATTTGCGGTTGAATTTAAAGGTTTCAGAAGCGATTCAATTTGGGTGTTCCATGTAGTGGAACACTGAGCCACAAAGGGTTAAGCCTTAATTTATGACTATAATGCTGTTATAATTAAATGTTACAAAATAACAGATAGAGAACAAATTTTGGCAAAGCACTGGGAATAAAGAGCTCAGTCCTTATGGAAAAAGCTACTTATGCAAAAGTAGGTGCTGATTATGTAAGCATTTTAAAATAGAGGTGTAGAAAGCCTCTTCAAAGCCATACTAAATTTTTGAAAAGGACAGCCAAATTGATACAAACTGGTGTTATTTATACATGGAGTTATTAAAAAATAGCAGCTAGGTGATAGAGATAGATCTAAATACACTGATCATAAACTTAAGTTTAAAGCAGAAATTTATTTAAGAATAGTGAAGAGTATGAGCATCTAGTTA